TTATTCCTAAATGCTTGCTGAAAGAGCGTTGAATGTTTTCCTGTGTTTGAATGTACAGTTTCTAAGCTGGACACATTTTAATGTTTAAAAACTTTGTGTATATCAAGCTTGTTGTAAAATATTCTTTTTGTTCCTGTGTTACCGACGCAACACTGGATAGTTCAGTTCCACACTGGGTATTTTATGTTAAACAAATAAATAGTTTTTTCAGTAAAAACGCTTTGGGCCGTTCTGTGGGACCTTTAACCAAGGGTTGGTTACTTCTACGGGCTTTTTGTCTTGATATTCAGCGATTTGGGGCAGAGGCTGCGCTGTGGGCTCGGCTGGATACGCAAGGGCTCAGCACGCCGGGCTCAATGAGCTTAAAGGTCTTTTCCAACTGAAACGATTCTGTGATTCCACGATTCCACCTCGTTTTGTGTGCGTTGTGGGCATCGGACACAAAGGAAAGTCACCGCATTCATGTTCGCGTTGGAAATAACCCCACAAGTAACGACAGCTATGTATTTTAAGGAGTCTCTTAAGGTCTTTAGTTGCTTTTTTTTTGCCTTTAAGTCAGTCGGGGTGATGGAAGCCAGCCAGTTTTGCTTCTGGCCTCCGGTTAATGTCTGGCAGTGCCTTCAGCGCTGCGATGGGTGATTGCAGACCACAGAGCCTGGTGGGAGGGGGCGGCTCAGCCCATGCCGGGACTTCGGGGCAGGGAGGCTTCCTTCTCTCCATCTACTTTTTAATGTCAACTTCTGTCTTTTTATCTCCTTTGTGCGCATGGTTTGCTGGGCATTTAGTGTATCCATTTTCTTTTTTTTTTTTTTTTTCACTAAGAAATGTGCAATATATTTTCCAGATATGCTTGGGAACTATGTATGGAACCACTGGTTCAGCACAAGGCCATAATGAAAAATGAACTTTGCTGGGTTTTAATAGCACAATTGGCCTACGATGTTCATATGAGGAAGAACTTCTTGACTTGGAGGGTGCCCGAGCCCTGGCCCAGGCTGCCCAGGGGGGCTGTGGAGTCTCCTTCTCTGGAGATCTTCAACCCCCGCCTGGCCGCTGTCCTGTGCCCCCTGCTCTGGGTGAGCCTGCTTGGGCAGGGGGGGGGGATGGGTGAGCTCTGAGGGCCCTGCCAGCCCCGGCCAGGCTGGGATTCTGGGATTCTCTTTCACCTGCCTGGTTTTTATAAACTATAACTGAGTGCGTAACCCTGACTGTGTTCCTCTACCCTTCACGTGACATTCTGATCTCCATGTCCCGTAATTTACAGGCATGAGGTCGCTTGTGTCTGAGTCGAAATGGCCAACGATCTGCAAATACTTTGCACCGGCGCGTTCGCGTCCCGGCCTGCATTAATCTTCATCCTCGCAGCCTGCGCAGCCCTTGACAGCCCGCTGGGATGGGGAGTTGTAATTCTGGGAAGGGAAACGGCTGGTCACCATGGAAGGGATCGTATCGTGGAAGCAATACTTGGGGAGAACATTCACTCTTCTGTGTTTTCTGTGAACTTTTTGGCATCCTCAGCCATTTCTAAAGCTCGTGCTGTTTTCCAAAAATGCCAGAGCTGCTGTTTGCTTACAGAGGATAACTTTGCTGATACTTGATGTATTTCCAGCTTTGTTCTGTGTCACAGGCAATCGTTGTTGGGAACTCCGAGTTCATAAAATGTGCTGATGCCGGCGGCTGGAGATGTCGAGAGGGTGCGTGCGGTGGCCGTCCAGACGTCCCACGGGCCCTCCCTTACCTTACCCTCGCCAGGGAAGCGTTGAGCCCGTGACTCTTCTGTCCCACAGCGTTTCACCCACGGCTGCCGGCAGCGTGAAGCACCTCTCCTGTGGCTCTGGTCTCAAACCGGAGCAGGCAGCCAGGTGACCCGAGAGCTTCCCACACATTCCTGTACGGGAGCAGGAGCTCCTAATGGGCCCGGGGCTATGAGCAGCGACACGCGGGCAACCGCGTCATCTTGCGATGGTGTTTCGGGTGCATTTGTCCGCTCAGAATCTGAAATGACGGCTCTTCCTCCTGCAGGAGGAGGTGCTCAGGAAAAACGCGTGGGGAGACGCGGAATGATACGGGGATGTTTCCATGGAGTTCGTGTTGGAGGCCCTAGCCATGCCATCATTAAGAAGGGAAAGCAGCACACACGAGGCCTTTGAATATTACTTTTATTGTGCACGCAGATTAAATTGTGGCCTTTCAGAGAATAAGCAAAATCAGACAGCAAATAAAATGACACAGCTAATCATTTCTGTTTGTTTCCTAAGAGGCCGTGTACGATCACGGGGCAGCTGCTCCCATAGGCATCTCAGATCAGAATCAACTGCTTATGGCAAGCTCTAGAGCGATTTGCTTCTCCCCTGCTGATCCAGCGTAGCTCTTGTGGAATCAGATGAATGGGTTTGGATTTGCAGCAGAGCAAACGGGAGGACGATGTGGTCCTCCCGATCTCATATTTGGAATGAGTGCAGTCGAGTGGGTGCTGTTTCACTGCGTGGCTCCTGCCCGAGTGCTATCACAGACCGTTGGGTTTAGCATTAAGCAATGGCAAATTTTCTCCAGCTGTTGTTTTCTTTTTTTGACCCTTTTCTTGATTATACCCCTTTGAACGGGGCTGCGATTTATCAGGTGAGGTGCCAAATAGAGTGGGAAACCCTTTTGACAGACTGGAGGTGATGCGGGCTCCTAATTTTCCTATGTCTACCTTTGTTTTTTAAGCATGCTGCAGAGGTGCCTCGGCTACCGGACGACTGCAGGCGCTTTGATGCACACCCAGGCTCCGCTGCCTTCTGAGGACGGACACGGGTCTGCCCCAGCCCGGGCCACCGCTCCGGAGCAGCCAACGGGGCCGTGGTGGCAGCCGGGCAGGGCTGGCCGAAGCGACTCTGCTCTGCAGTCGAGCAAGAAGCAGAAAGCAGAAATGACCCCGGCTATCGTGAGGTGGTTTATGATCTGCAAGGATGCGAGGAGCAGCGGTGTCAGGGCCAAAATCGCAGTCAGGGGAACTCCAGCACCCGCTCTGGCTGGTGCCCTCGCCAGCAAGCTGTTGAGTGGTTGGATGCCCATGCAATGTCACGTTGCCAGCACTGCGGGCGTCACAGCAAACACGACCAGCCCACACCTTTGCAGAAGGAAGAGAGGAGCAGAAGGGGACGGGGCAGCAGCCGCTGGGAAATTCTGGCCCCCACAGTGAGAGTAACCATCGCTGCTTTTGTAACAGGCCAGACAATTAGCAGATGCGCTCAGCAAAGCTCGTCAGAGCTCTCCGACTGCTCGGGGTGTGTAAGCTGGGGAAATACGCACCGGTGACATCGCGTTCAGCGGAAAACGAGGTGGCTGGGAGGTCTCCCAGGGCCACAGCCGTGCTGGCACGGTGACCTCCATGGCACGGCTGAAAACAAGATCAGACTCATCCGCACCCACGGGGCATGGGATCCCGTGGGCACGGCCCATCCCCAGCAGCGCTGCGGGCTCATCACTTCCAACGGAGCCTTCACGAGCTTCTCTTTTCCTCGGTGCCATGGAAGCAGCACGTTGGGAGACGGCTCCTTCAGCTGGGAACGGCTCCAGTGCCAGGCTGCCACCAGGAAACCTCCGCTTTTCCTGGGGCTGTTTTAAATCCCGGTGCCCAGGAGGAGAAGCGAGCCCGGCTGCACTGCAGCATCTCTCATTCCCTGGGTGCCTGGTGCATCGCAGATGGGGTTGATGAGCTATTCCTGGTGCACGGAGCCCGAGGGAGAGCGAAGCTGCATCACGGATGAGTAAGGAAGGGTTGGCTCGGCAGCGGTAGAGAGCGAGCCAGGCGCTGTGCTCCAGGCTTGGGGCAACCGCTAGCCTTTGGATTTGAGGCTTATGCTTCTCTACCATTCAGTGCCTTGACTGTGATGGTTTTTTTAGAGCAGGAAAGACGAGCGGTGTGGGCAAATTGGCCAAACTGTATCTTCAGAATGGTGCGTTGGGTCCCCAGCAGCGGCACTGAAGAACCCCCAGAATGTCAGAGCTGTCCCCAAGTTCTTCAGGAGACACAACCGACCCGGAGCCAGCTCCTCACTCAGAGCTGCCTCTCACGGCTGGAGGAAATGGGAAACCGAAGGGCCCGTGGGAGTTCTGGGGACAAGAACAGCTATTTTGTGTATGCGCTCTGCTATATATAGAGCCTGGCAAGTACGCAGGGCTGGAACATGTTGCTTTTGTTGCTAAAAACATCATTTGGAAAGCCCATTTTAGGCAACCGCTGCTGTCTGTTGCCAGCTACACTAACCAGGTGCTGCAGATCCGCGCTTCGTCCTGGCATGGACATGAGAAAAGCTATCGTGGCTGAAGCACACGCTTTTAGAGCTGCTCTTACTTCTCCAGGAGCTTCTGGGCTTCTTCCTACTGAGGAGCTTTCGCCTCCTGGGGGAAGCTTACAAATCGAGTTACATGCTGGTGGTGGAGGCCCCATCCCTGGGAACATTCCAGGCCAGGTTGGACGGGGCTCTGAGCAGCCTGATCTAGTTAGCAGTGTCCCTGCTCCTGCAGGGGGGTTGGACTAGATGACCTCTAGGGGTCCCTTCCAACCCAAAACATTCTATGATTCTATGATTCTATGATTCTATGATTCTATGCTGGGTGTCGGAGCAGTCAGTGAAGACTCAGGTGGCACCGGCTCAGTTTCGGATCCTGTCCCACTGTGTGGATGAACTGCAGGACGGCCGAGATTCCAGCCGAACCCTGCCTGCCCTTTGCAGCCCGACCCCCAGGACAGAAGCACGCTTTGCCATAGATAATTATCCGTATTTTAAAGCACTGCCTTTAGGTAGGTTGTGCAAGGGCAGGGTGGAGGGGACTCGGCCGTCCAGCAAATGGCAGTGACAGAACTGGCAGCAAACTGAAAGGGAGACGCTAGGAGCCAGCGCTGGAGCTGGCGGGAGGGTTGGACGGCCCACGCATATCGCTGTGTTATTCGCATCGTTCCGCTGTGATTTCTAAGCTACTGCTGTCACGATGATCCGGGCTGAGCAGGCAGCTCACAAGCGGGGCTGTGGTGGGCCGGCCAGCTTCTTCTCCTGGAGGATGCTCCCAAAGAGCCTGGCTGCTGCCATGGCGCAGCCCCAGTGGATGGTGATCCCAAACCCACCGTGGCCGTAGTTGTGTATCACCTGGGGGAGAAGAGAAGGGATCAGTGCTGGGAGAGCGGTGCCGGAGCCCTCTGGGGCAGCAAGGAGCCGTAGTAGCATCTGGGAACATCCTTAGTGTCTGTGGATCGACCCT